CTTCCCAATCCACCTACACAAGATACCCGGTCGCCTAGCCTCTCAGAGCGCCGACACAGCTGCTCACACTACTCACAGCCCCGTGTCCGGTCCCCGAGCATGCACGACTATCGCAGCTGGAAGACGTGCATGACTCAAAAGTCTTCAAATCTACAGGACTACCGGTCTTCCCGTCTTCACGAGCGGCCTTCACCCAATAACAGCGAACACAGGTAGCCTACATGCGCAAGTGGTTACCTTAGAATTACTACAACGTTCTCTTTGATTCTTTTGGCCGTTTTGAGTTACGAGCTTAGACCATGAGGTCAGAAACGAAATGTTCCATCTGCTCTTTCAAATTTTAAAGATTATTCCGAGTCGTTTTTAAGATATTCAGAGAATTGCATTAAAGAAAACTTAATATGTGAAAGTCAAAATTTTTAATATCAAATTTCTCAAAAGTAGGTCCTAGGCAGATAGAACTTTTAAATTCAAGGATAACGAAATGACACTGAATTTCACTTACTTTGACATCCCAACTGAAAGACGATTGTACATGTACTTTGGTGAAAAGAGCTGGAATTCATGTCATACAGGGTGTCTATAAAAATGACCCATTTAAAAGCAGTATCTCGGTCATCTCTGCACCAAATTCACCAACATTTTGAACAATTCAGTCAAGGGGATGTCACGACTTGATGAAATCAGGCGCTTGTCTATTTTGGGGCATATGGAGCTATTGGAATTATCTTACAATTTGGACATTTATGATCTATATTTCGATGAAAAAAATACCAGTCTATCTTGAACAGAACTTGAGATTATATTTTATATTGAAGGAGATGGGGGTTGCCTCGTTTCAGAAGTAAAATTAGCGAGAAAATGGCCTCCAAAGTGTGTTGACCGCCACAGCTTAAGTCTTTGGAAACTGTAAATTTACTTTTATAGTGACTTTAGTCAGAGATTTGTCGTAAAATCCACACAAAAATTTGTTTTTTAAAAGATGATAAAAGACGCTGAGCTAATTTATTTTTTTAAAGAAAAGAAAATTCGGGGAAATGCCCAGCGTCCAGAAAAATGCCTTTTTCTTTGATTTCATCATTTTGACGAGCGCCTTATTTCACCAGCTGCCTCTTGTCAAAAATCCCTTACAACTGTGGATCTCATGTGCATGTGTGCATGAAAAAAAGGTTTTCTTTAAATAACATTGCTAAACAAACTTGGGAATTGTGATGGCTATCTAAATTTAATTATATTGTATTCTTATGTTTCAGTTACTGACCATTTCTCTCAGAACTCTCAGCCCTGTGTTGCTGCATTGTGTATGTGTCAGCGTACTTTGATTTAGCATAAACTCTCGAGATCTCACCCGAGTAGAAATTATTTTGAGTTGATGAGGTGGGATGGGTGCTCTGGTGTGGTTTGTCCTGTCGAACATCTATCGTCCTTTCTTTTGCATGTTGCTCTCTAGTAACACGTGTAATCTACAGCATTTATATGATACATGTATATTTGTGCTGCAAATGCCGTTAAACTCAAACAAACTAAAAAATGTTTAAAACCAAACCACAACAAAAAACTAATTTTAATTTAGAAAAGAGTTTCATGGTACTTGCAACACAAGAAGGTCATATACGTGCCGAAGGTTAAAATGTTACAAGAGAGTGAATAACACAAAACAGTAGAAGAGATAAGGACGATTGACGTTTGATAGGAAAGAAGGAGCAAACCACGCCAGAGCACTCGCCAACCACCCGCAAACAACAATAATAACAACAACAATAAAAGCAACCACAACAACAACAACTAAGTCTCAATTCCAAAAATTTCTTCAACTCCAATAAACCAATGCTTTCTGTCTCCATCTTCAGGTCCATTTTAACAGGGGCACAAGATGGTCTTACCTCAAGTCTGACCGAATTCCGCCTGTCTCCCCGCTGTGCTCGGGCGCGGGCCTCCACCATGCACGAGCCACGCCCACCTATCATCAAACCTGGCGCCAAGTCCAAAGGAGGCGGACTCGCTCTTCACAACGAGACAAAACCCCAGAAGAACCTTCTCATCCAACAGCAGCCGGTCAAGGCGTCGTCAGACGTGAAGATCTCTTTCCCCGCCAGTTTTCACGTCGTGGATGAAGACGCCGCTTTATGACAAGAACCCACGAGCGATATCAACGGACATGTTAGCGCCTGGGTGTGAGCTTACAAAACCGACGGCCCCTGTTTCCTCTGTACACTAACATTGCACTACAGGGACCTTTACACTAGACCTACCAGTATCTGGTTTCGAACGATCAGATAGCCTTGTATTCATCAAGGCATTGTGTTCCATACTCAGTTTTGTAACACTTGGGGTTTATGCTCCCTGGGATATAATTGGCACGGCAGTGGCCCAAATGGTCTCTCACCAGAGACCGTAGAGAAAGAGGGAGAGATACTGGCAAGCACACACCTTCGCAAAAGAGTGTCAACATTTGCAATCATTGTGCTGTTGTGGATGACCCTGGTTCAAAACTGCATTGGGGTCTTTCCTTCATTGTGCTGTTGTGGATGACCCTGGTTCAAAACTGCATTGGGGTCTTTCCTTGTTTGGGGAGTTTCAATGATCTCCATCCTTTTCAGTGATGTGGGATATCGAGATGAGATTCCGAGGTTTTTTAAAACACATTCCAGGTTTAAAATATACAATACAGTCACTGAAGTGACAACTGTGTACAGATCAAAGAAACAACAATTTTCTTTTGAGGAAAAGTTCACAAATATGACAATTGTCAGAATGCCAAAAAGCATGTTAACCTTATAAAAGCGATGGTCCTCTGTACATATACTACGTTGTAATTACATGTGTTATGAAGTGGTCCTTGTTTTCTAGGCTGTGATTCCAGGAAACAAAGAAAAGAAGATGAGTAAAGAACTGAAGCAGCTGAGATGCAGGGTTTTTTTTAAAATTGGTCTGCCCGTGGAAGTTAAACAGATACAGAAGAAATAATGAGAGCCAAACATATTGGGAACAACGTGAAAAATTGTATAGCCTACTCTACGAGGCAAAGAGATTGACATCATGAAAAACTTGCACTTGCAAGGCAATGCTGGGGCAAAAAAATAGAAGAGGCAGACCACCAACTTCTCTCATTGGCAACATCACCATTACTATCCAGCGGCATTAGAATTCATGAAGTCTGCAAGGTCAGCGAAGAACCAGAACAAATCCCTTAGAATAACAAAGTTCTATCTCTGCCCAGTACCTTGTTTTGAGAAATTTTAGGTAAAAAATTTTGAGTTTCACAATTTGTCAACGTTTTTTCGAATACAATTCTTTGAATATCTTGATAATGGCTCCAAATAATCTTACGATTTTGATAAAGAGGATAGAAAATAATTTGGTTTCTGACCTCATGGTCTTAGTAACTCAAAACGGCCACAAAATGTTAGATAGAACCTTGTAATTCTAAGGCAGCGAAATGAAGAAGGGTAACCCATGGGTGTCATTGCGTGCAGTAGCCAACAACGCACCCGGTGATGCCAGCACAAGTGAACAAGTCTACCAAGTCAGATATCTTCCCGTCTTGATGTAAGACCACACAGGCGACTGACCTCTATATACAATCATATTGGCAAAGAGAAAATGACTATCACTATCGGACGGGATAATTCAGAGTGTTGGGTTTCATCTTACGAAAGTGACGTACGTGTGTCCATTACATGTAATTAAAAAGATGATGTTGACTGTGTGGACTTGATGTGTGCGTGTGTGTGTGTGTGTGTGTGTGTGTGTGTGTGTGTGTGTGTG